GAGGGATGCTCTCTCAGGTAAACTTTGATCTATAAAGCATGAGTTTAATGTATAAATATGTATGATGGTCGTCTGTTAAAGGTTGCATGAACATATACATGTAATATTTGGTGTGTATCAACACGTCAGACTTTAGTCTTTTTGGTTGTGATTTATGGCACAATATTTAGCTGAAGGCACAATAATTTACTATTTAATACTTGAAAATGTTGATAAAATATCTTGTTTTTGTCACCTCCTGTATCTTCTTGTGGTTTGTTTCTAAAACCTGGTGGATGAATCAATGCATTAATGGTGAAGATGTACCAGTGATGGACGTGATCATGATCAAAACATCAAAACAAAAGTCATTCATTGGTTTATTTTAATGATAAATTAACAAGAAAAAATGCATAACTTCAAACATACATAAATATACTGTACATAATACATGTTTATACATCCTTTCTTCTGTCTCTGGTGCAAACAAGCTGAATGAATACACTACAGAAACGATCCTTTCCTGAGATCCTGAGCAGCTCGTTTCTCCGTCTTCCTGCCCTGAAGGTGGCGCCACCGAGGTCCTATAGTGTGTAAAAAGCCAGCTCCTGCAATCATTGTGATCAGTATTGTTCATATCAATAGTGTTTGGGCGGCGCAATCAGTGCATCTGCATCACAAAAATGAGGTTCGCGTCGACAAGTTTGCTGCTTTTCTCTTGGTGGGAATCGTCCAGCTTTGTGTCCTCCACATCTAACCCATCAGACTGGTGGAGAAGCTGGAGCTCAACCTGCTGCAGGGCTTCAACACAACCGAGCTTCTCCTGGTGAAGCGCTCACGATAAACAACTTCTATAAAGTGCACTGAAACATCGCCACGCAACAAAAAAAAAAAACCCCTGAGGAGCTTCTCTATTTGTTATCCAGAGTGTATCTCCTCTGCAGCTGGATGTGGTGCTGCTTCACCGGTCGGACCTCCCAGTCGGCGCATTTGACTTTGTTGGTGCAGGCGCATTGAAGCAGAGGCTGAGGCTGCTGAGCTGGTGTCACCTGGAAGAACAGACGTGTTAAAGTCTCTGAACTCTGTTTTGGAGGATTAACAAGCACAGAAGCTTTGATTAGTACCTGAGACTTGTGGACGTGCAGCTCGTTGTGAACTTTCTTAAATTTCTTCTCCAGTTCCAGATATTTGTCCTTAAGCTTCTCTCTGTCCTTTCGCTCCCTCAAGAAGTCTTCCTTGTAGACTTCAGCCTGAACACGGATCACAAAGGAACATGAGATGAGAATCCGATTGCATTAGATATAATCTGTCATGTCTAATCAGCTCAGCTTGGAATGGAAACTGCACTGAAACACATTAAAAAGACTCTTACCAGACTGTTTAAAGCTATTTTTTTGGTTAATGTTGCTGTTGTTACATTCTCAAAGGTAAATTTCAACATTAAATGCATGTTTACTGTCGTTTTTTAGCAAAATAATTGAATTTAAACTACTTTCCTGTTTGCTTTTTAATGCTAAAGCTTGAAAAATGTCATATTTTCAAGTTAATAATTCCGTCATTAAGTTTAATATCTGCCGACATGACACAGTTTAATACTTCTCGACAGCACAGTGTTCGATTGACGTTGCATTTCTTAATTTTCATGAGCTGTTCAGATGTATTTCAGCAGAAAATTCATGAGATTTGCTTCGAGGCAATTTTTTAGAAGAATTTTTCTCTGTTATCGTTTTATGTGTTGAGCAAAATATGACAAAGTACAAAAAAAAAATATTGGATATTTCAACATTTTAATTCTGAAAAAGCTCAAATGAAGATGTAAGCTGCCTTTTGCTGTCTGACACATTATATCTCATTTGTATATTTCACACAACAATCAAATCCTTTATGTAAAATATGGTTTTCAAGTGGCTGTGTGCCATTTCTCATCCAGGAACAAAGATGGTATAGCTGGCAAGAAATATTCAGGCACATGTTGCCTTAAAAAACCACAACATGCTCGTGTTTACACTTTGGTATTTTTATAAATACATGTTAAATATATAATAAGTAAGATTTTTGGCCAAATACAGACGAGAAAAAAGAGAAAAAGACTTTTAAAATGAACAAATAATGAATACAGACTTGTCTTTTTCTTTCTTTTCTC